TGACACCTTACGTTTCCAAGTCTCCACGGGAAGCATATGCGAATTACAGGGATCTTGATTTGGGGATGAACAAGAAGACTAACTCCTGCCTCAATGAAGCAACTGTCTTTGGTACTAAGTACTTCAAGGATAACTTCTATAGGTTGGTACTCGTGAAGACCAAAGTTGATCCTGACAATTTCTTCAGGCATGAACAGAGCATCCCGCCTCTTAAGGATAGCTTCAATAGGTTGGCCCTCGTGAAGACCAAAGTTGATCCGGACAAACATGTCTTCGAGCATGAACGGAGCATCCCACCTCTCCACTTCACATGAGATAAAGAAATTGAAGAGGAATCCATAGCCATCGAAAGATTGGTAATTGGATCACCATGTTTATGTTTCTTGGTTGGAGTTCAATTTGTTTTACTTCATAATTTAGATAAATAAACAAGAACGATGCTGTCTAATCATGTAGTTTTTGTAGGGTTTATGGCTTATATTCCTCGCAGGAATGGCCAAATAAAATAGCTTTAAGAAAAAGTGGAGTATGATAAGGATATATTCGTGTGTCATGCATATCTCTCCCTCACTTACGTATCCATGCATATCTCTCCCGTGCCCATGCATATCTCTTATGCAACCAGTGTATATCTGAAACTTCTTTCAGAGTCGTCTCCAAGCTTTATAAATATGTGAGAAAATGAGTGGTTTTAGAGTTCACAAAACAAAAAGGATCTAAACGATTTTTTTTTCTTTTTTTAATGTAAGAGTGTGCACAGAGGGGTTTGAAATTGAGTTTTGAATATAAAAATCACAATCATAGATCGAGGTGATGGTCTATTGTGTCCATTTTTAGAGGAAAAAAAATTTCTTAGAGGAAAAAAATTCTCTCGGATGCAAAAAATATTTAGAATTTTATCAAACCACATTTAATTTTATGTGTCCATTTTTTATTTTTCTTTATATTGAATCAGGTTGTTCAAGGTGATGGTCTATTGAATCTTGTTCCCTAAATTTCTTAGAATATGAGAAAAAGAAATAGATTTTAAACATAATATCAAATTAAAAATATCATTAAAAATACTTTGAAGTTTTCAGCGTTTAGCGGTTAAAGTTTTGTGCATCAAAACAATAGCTTTCGTCGAATTTGACTATTGTGATTAGAAGTTAACATTGTCTTTTAAGTTTTAGAACATATTTTAACTTGTTTAATGTCTTACATAAAAATATTTAATGAACACGAGCAAATCATACGAAAATTGAACAAAATCATTGGACTGCCCTAACAACAAATGGATAGATAGATGGAAGAATTACATTGTATAATAATAATTATGTAAAACTAACAAAATTAGAAAGTGTAAGATTTGATAATAAAGGAATACACTAGGACTGAATTGAGGTTTCCCCAACTATAAACTACGTTCTCTCAATTAGTAGAACACTTGGATGAAAGCCTTTGATGATGATTAGTAGATGATTTCATTCGAGGGATACCCAATCAGAATTATTGATCATGCCAGACGCATTGAATCTAAATCATCAAAATTGTGAGAAAGATTAAAAATTTACCATTCACCAAGGTTATTCTTTCACTACACCACCTTGAAGTTGACTATCTATTGTTTCACGGCTTTTCCAACTTGGAATGCATTGAATATTCATTGTTGTGCTTCTATGTGTTGGTCATCTCAACCTTCCTCTTTCACAAGTTACTTGTTTGATAATACTTTTGAAGACATACCCTTTGTAACTTTTGTTTATGTGATTTGAAACTATGTTTTTTTCTGTTTTTCATTTACAGACTACTCTGTCGTTCTTGGCTTTGGTTTAGTTTCAACTGTTTGTAATTATGAAAATTCATAGTTTCTTAGTGCAGGTATGTTCCTACTGTTACTAATTTATAATTTACTCCCAAAACTGAGAGGCCAACAATTTCCATGATTTTATCTGAGAAAAGTGTTCTGGTGCATTATTTCTCATGGGAGAAGTCTTGTTAATTTATTACAAGACCCCTTAGTTACGTGTTGTTCATCAGAAAGAGCAGCATGAGGTTAGAGTTTTAAGACAGGTTCCTCAATCAAGGGATGGTGGGAAAGAGGAGCATTATCATCTTACTACTTCTTAACATAATGAGGTTAGAGTTTTACAGGATTTTACCCCTTTTTTTTTTTTTTTACCCCTTCAATCTCATCAGCTTTCAAGATGGTTCTGCCAATCTGCTCTTAATTATTTTTATTTTTTTTCCTTTTCTTTTTGTGAATGTAATACTCATTTATTGATGGATGTGATGCTAAAGAGATGTTAATATTAATCAAGATGATTGGTTTAAGTGAAAGAGACTCTAGTCGTTTAAATAAGTAGTATCAAGTTTAAGTTTTTATGTGCGCAGAAAACTCTTTGGGTAGCTGTATTCATCTTGTATACTCGACCGAATAATGAGAGAGTACACCAATCAAATAACAGAGATTAGTATGAAGTTTGGAGCCTGAAATACTCTAAAGATCCCAAAAAGAAAAAAAAAATGGTTGATATTGTCAGAAGTAATTGCACATACCTAACTTGGTCTTATATTTTCTTAGTTGTTTCTGTTTTTTAGTTCAAATTGGTATTATTTTCACATAGTAGCAACCAATATATATGTGTCAAAGTGGATGAAATTTTTAAAGAATTCATCTTCGTTAATAGTTAGTTAATTTAGAAAATACTGCAGCATGTTTCTGTAACTTTCATATCCTAATAAATTTATTTATATATTTACTTATTTTGTTTGTATTAAAAGAGTTTTGAGTTTAATAAAAATATTATTCCAGATTATGAGTGTTAGCTCTGCTTCTAGCAAATATTATGTTTGAATAAGTTGAAGAGAAGAAAATTCTTATAGTAACTTTGCCTTACGAGAGATCCATTCTTTAGCAACTACACCAGGTAAGGCTTTCTTTCCTAAGTTGCTTGCTAGGCTTTGCTGTTTCATAGTTGCAATCTCCACAAGGTAAAATAATCTAAGATTCAACACTATTTTTGTTAATAATTACCGGCAAAGAATTCGAAGCACTGAAAAACTAGTGGAACCTGTTCGCATCATTGGGCTTCTAACAAGTGCGTAGTGTTTATTTCCTTTCAGTTTTACTTGCATCATGTTTGTACCTTGATGATTGAGTTTTTTCCTGCAAAATTCATATTGTTCGTACAGTATCTTTTGAATATTGTTATACCCAAATTTATTCGCGAGATGATTGCGTATTACAAGAGTTTTCGAGTTTGTTGTTGTTTATTTAATAACTGATATACATGCTCCCTTTTTTATTTAAAGGAGAAAGAAATTGGGTGGTAATTTGTATATGATTCTGGTTTTCATTTCTTTATTTATATGTTTTTTGGGCAGGATTCGGTGATAAAGATTCTTGATACATTGTACCATGACCGATCATGTAGTTTTTGTTCGGTTTATGGCTTACATTCCTTGGAAGAATTGCCAAATAAAATAGCTTTAAGAAAAAGTGGAGTAGTCTGCAAGCTTATAAACTCGATCACTAAATTTATTATTTCTTATCCACCAAGTATTTTCACCATTATAAATATGTGAGAAAATGAGTGGTTTTAGAGTACACAAAACACAAGGATCCAGAAGATTTTTTTTTTCTTTTTTCTTTTTTTTTTTTTTTTGATGTGAGAGAGTTTGTACAAAGAGGTTTGAAATTGAGTTTTGAATATAAAAATCACAATCATATTCTTGTACTAATTTCTCTCATAGGAAAAAAAAATTACTCTCGGATGCAAAAAAATATGTAAAATTTTGTAGAACCATATTTAATTATGTGTCCACTTTTTATTTGTCTTTTTTATTTTTCTTTATATTGAATTGAGTTGTTCAAGGTGATGGTATATTGAATCTTGTTCCCTAAATTTCTCCGAATATGAGAGAAAGAAACCGATTTTAAATAGAATATCAAATTAAAAATATCATTAAAAATACTTTGAACTTTTCAGTGTTTAGCGACTAAAGTTTTGTGCATCGAAGCAATAGCGTTGGCCGAATCCGACTAATGTGATTTGAAGTTAACATCGTCTTTCAAGTTTTAGAATATATTTTAACTTGTTTTGACATCTCAAATAAAAATATTTAATGAACACATGCAAATCATATGAAAATTGAACAAAATCATTGAACTACCCTAACAACGAATGGATAGATAGATGGAGGAATTACATTTTATAATAACAATTATGTAAAACTAATAAAATTTTTAACATTTAATTGATAATAAAGGAATACACTAGGACTGAATTGAGGTTTCCCCAACTATAAACTATGTTTTCAATTAGTATATCATTTAGATGAAAGCCTTTGACGATGATTAGTAGATGATTTCATTCGAGGGATACCCAATCAGAATTACTGATGCCAAATGCATTGAATCTAAATCATCAAAATTGTGAGAAAGATTAAAACTTTACCATTCACCAAGGTTATTCTTTCACTACACCACCTTAAGGTTGAATATCTATTGTTTCATGGCTTTTCCAACTTGGAATGAATTGAATATTCAGTGCTGTGCTTCTATGTGTTGGTCATCTTAACCTTCCTCTTGACAAATTACTTGTTTGATCATACTTTTCAAGACATACCCCTTGTAACCTTTGTTTATGTGATTTGAAACTACTCTGTTTTCCCTGTTTTTCATTTACAGACTACTCTGCTGTTCTTGGCTTTGGTTCGCTTTTAATCGTTTGTAATTATGAAAATTCGAAGTTTCTTAGTACAGGTATGTTCCTGCTGTTACTAATTTATAATTTACTCCCAAAACTGAGAGGCCAACAATTTCCATGATTTTATCTGAGAAAAGTGTTCTGGTGCATTATTTCTCATGGGAGAAGTCTTGTTAATTTATTACAAGACCCCTTAGTTACGTGTTGTTCATCAGAAAGAGCAGCATGAGGTTAGAGTTTTAAGACAGGTTCCTCAATCAAGGGATGGTGGGAAAGAGGAGCATTATCATCTTACTACTTCTTAACATAATGAGGTTAGAGTTTTACAGGATTTAACCCCTTTTTCTTTTTTTTCTTTTTTTATCTCATCAGCTTTCAGGATGATTCTGCCATCTGCTCTTAATTATTTTTATTTTTTGCTTTTTCTTTTTGTGAACGTAATTCTCGTTCATAGATGGATGTGATGCTAAAGAGATGGTAATATTAGTCAAAATGATTGGTTTAAGTAGAAGAGACTCTAGTCGTTTAAACAAATGATCTCGAGTTTGAGTTTTTGTGTGTGTAAAAAACTCTTTGGATAGTTATATTCATCTTGTACGTTCGACCGAATAACAAGAAATTAGTCTAAATTTTTTAACCTAAAATACTATAGAGATCCCAAAAAAAAAAAAAAAAAATGTTGATATTGTCAGAAGCAATTGCACATACCTAACTTGGTCTTATATTTTCTTAGTTGTTCCTGTTTTTTAGTTCAAATTGGTATTATTTTCACATAGTAGCAGCCAGTATGCGTCAAAGTGGAATAAATTTTTAAAGACTTGGTCTTCGTTAATAGTTAGTTAATTTAGAAAATACTGCAGCATGTTTCAGTAACTTTCATATCCTAATTAATTTATTTAAATGTATTATTTATTGTGTTTGTATTAAAAGAGTTTGAGTTTAATAAAATTATTATTGAGATTGTGAATGCTATCTCTGCTTCTTATTTTCTAGCAGATATTATGTTTGAATAAGTTGAAAAGAAGAAAATTGTTACAGTAGCTTTATCCATTCTTTAGCAAACTACTCCAGGTAAGGCTTTCTTTCCTCTGTTTCTTGCTAGGCTTTGCTGTTTCATGGTTCCAATCTCCACAAGATAAAGTAATCTAAGATTCAACACTGTTTTTGTTAATCATTACAGGCAAAGATTTCAAAACACTGAAAAGCTAGTGGAACCTGTTCCCATCATTGGGCTTCTAAGAGGCGCGTAGTGTTTATTTCCTTTCAGTTTAATTTACTTGCATCGTGTTTGTACCTTGATGATTGAGTTTTTTCCTGGAAAAAATCATATTTTTCGTACAATATTTCTTTGAACATGCAACGAAAATTGTTGAGCTTTTTGCCGGTGCTCAGACACGTTACACATACATGTCTGAATCGTAATGGACAACGGAAGAAGTTGGATTCCGAAATTTCTATGATTTTTTTTGTGACGTAAATGTTGGAAAATAGCTGAAGCAATCTGAGATAACAGAGGGATTTTAAGATTGATAAAAACTTGACAGAGCTGCTGCTCAAAGCCCTTTCCCAAGTATTTGTTGATTTCCTCATGTAAAAATGTCTAATCCTTCATAACTTGGTGAGTATTCCTCTCGTGATATCTACGTTTTCTCTGTTCTGTCCAGCAATGGAAGTTCAAAATAAGTTTTTGCCATACAGTTCTTTACTAACGAATTATTTCTTAAAGATATTGGTTGAATCGTAATCTTCATCCTCTAAACCTTTTAAACAAGCAAATCCATGTTCCTAGAGGTATGTACCGTTCCATTTAAACGGAAAAAGTCGAACTGAACGGCGATAATTTCATTCAGCGATTCGGTCTGTTCAATTAGAAGAATTAGTTTTTAGGATTAATAGTCTGACCATTTTTCATTATATAATGACTCAAATTTTCAATCTATTTTCATATCCTAAAGCCATCGTATTATGTTATTGTTATTATATCTAGTTTTTAATCTATTCTTCTGATCGAATCATTAAAAATTAATGTTCAATTTAAACCGAAAAAGTTGAACTGAATGGCTATAATTTCATTCGGTAATTTGGTTTGTCCCATACTCTATATATTTCGGTTAGATGAATTAATTTTTAAAATTAATAGTCTCATTTGTCTTTGTATAATAACTCAAATTTTCAATTTATCTTTATATCCTATAATAATCATATAATGTCATTGTTATTTTAGTTAATTTTATTTCTTTTTTAATCAATTTTTCTAGTCGAATCATTGGAAATTGACCACTTAATTTATACATAATATGTCTTTTGACGAAAAAATACTGCTCAAAAGTAAACTCATGAAATAATCTGATTTGCAAATAAGGGGTATTTTTCTCAAACAAAAAAATGTCATGTGTATAATGTTTTTACTTTTATAAATCTCAATATTTTTATAATTTATTTTTATTTTTATTTTTTGAATAATGCTGACAGAACTAGCTGATGTTCATCCTTATTATAGGATGTCCATAATCTTTGGACCTATGGTAATAATCCAAGACACAAAAGATGGTCAACTTTTGAGTGGGCCAAATCCCATTTGCCCCACACAAGAAAGATCCAGACGATGCTCCCACTATTATCTGATGACGTGTTGCAATGGCATTGGTCGGTAGTGGTAGGGCACTAGGCAAAAGTTTGGGCTGCTGTTAGCGTTTTGTAGTGGGGTCCATCTACCCCACACAAGAGATCCACCCAATTGTTGGCACGGTAGGGGTCCCCTAAAATGAACAAGGACCAGCTAGGGCAAGTGGGTCTGTAACACTACCCCAACCCCATTGTGGCCCCACTCAATATGGTGGGGTCCCTACCACATATAGATGAGGCCATGACCTAATGTGGGTCCCCTCCCCTTGAAAATGGTGGGCTCCACCCACCATCCAAGTGGTGCACCACCATTTGGGTCCACTTGTTGAAGCTGATCGGATGAAATCTGAACCCGTTGGATTGACAGATGGATATCGGGGGCCCGTTCAGATGTGGTAGGCCGTACACTACCCAGGTGCCACTGAGTCCCCACGTTAACTTTTAAAGTATAGATACGCGTACATAATCTATCCATTAGAAATTGGACAGCTAGCACGGTCAATGCTTGAAGACATGATCGATTTGCATTTTACTCTTTTAGACTTGAAATATTTTATTATTGAGATTATTCTAAAAGATCCCACGAACTCTCCTGCTCAAGATAGATTTTATTTAGTCTTTGTAAATGATTCAAAGTCTTCTTTTATTTTGTCTTACTTGTTTTCCATTTTAATTTGGACATTGGATTGGTTATTTTTCATTACTTGTATTGCAAGTAAGTTTTAGACCCTAGAACAGTGTAAATAGTAGAATATATTCATTGTAATTCTTTAGTCAGCTCCGGATATACAATTTCAATGCAAAATTTTAAGTTTTTGACAAATTATTCTTTTTCAGAGTTTAATAAGTTTATTGTTTACAGTTTTATACTTTATCATTGTTATTTTTTATTGCATTGTTTGCTTGCTTTCTTTGCAAATTTTATTTATCACCTTCTTTACATGCTTTATTTATAAGTTTTTAGTCTATTTGATTGTTTTTTTTTTTTTTTCATGTGATTTAACGTTTTCCTTTAGTTTTGCAAGTAATTTGCTAATACTAACTCTCCATTGTTTAATTATAAATCTCTATAATTGCGCTTGAAGTCGTAGCCTAGGGAAACGAGAGCTTACCTCCCGAGGATTACTCGGGTTCGACTTTCTTCGCGCACGCCTGTCACCTCCACGGGGACATGGGCTTGCGGGGTGTTCGGTGGGCTTCGGAGATTATTCACGATGCGCGCAAACCGGCCCGAACACCATGAATTAACTAAAAAAAAAAAAATTAGAAATCTCTATAATTTATCACTCAAGATGAACCTTACATTTTGCTTGGTTTAAACCTTAGGATTTACTAATTGATTATTCAACATAGACTTACATGTTGACCACTCAATGAAAACTTAATTATTTAAAACTTATTTAGACCTTCATGGTTTTATGGTCAATTTAAGTCATTGAAACTTATTACTTGATTTGGTTTTGGATTTAGTTTTTGTGGCTAAATTCAATGTTAATGTGTACGCTCTATTTGGAAAGACTTTGTTCATAATGATGGCTTCGTCAATCCTTACCTATCCAAACTATTTTGTTTAATTTTTTGAGAATTCACAATCCTACTTGATTGCAAACTTAATTCTCATCTCTTTACAGATTGAGTTCTAATTAAAAATAAAAAATCCTCCTTTTTGACGGAAAAAAAATATATCGACAACTTACATAATGAATATTTTTTATCCTATTTTTCATGATTAGGCACAAAGATTTCACAGTATTAAGCTAAAATGTCACAAATCACAACTACATAACCAATTTGGTATTATTATATAGTATGATATTCTACCACTTTCTTAAAATTATCCACTTAAACAAATAAAATAAAACTATAATATTAATGCATGATGTGATGGGATGTAAAAACAGATCAAAAGAGCTATCACTGAATTCACAAACACATTATGTAGTGATGATAGAATAATTTTCTATAGAAATTCTAAATTCTTAGTAACATCAAAAAGGAAAAAAAAAAGAGTTGATTCAAAAGCACACTTCAAATTTGCCCTAGCCATGAATCATGCTTGATTGTTTTTCACCAAACAATTATTATCAAGGAAGACCACCTTCCAAATGGACAGTATTATTTCATTGTGGGTAAAAACTATGGGTGGACTTTGCAGTGGGAATTGGGTTCCACCATTTTCCATTGCGTGGAACATGACCTTAACATGAAAACTCCAATTGGCAGAATTAAGAAATGAGAAATTGAAATACTCGTAATCAATCAATAAGAAAAAACTAACATAATTGTTTGCAACCAAACTTCAATTTTTTTTTTATATTCCTAGCATGTAGGCTGTCTCTCTCATATTTTTCATGGATAATTTTTTTTTCATAATTTTAATAAAAAATAATCTTCTCGTTATATTATAATTAAATAAATTAAAACTATTAAAATTCGAACTTATTTTTATTGAAAATAGCTATTAAACTTCACTACTACAAGCAAAATACCCCGTAAATCTTAGATTTCATAATAAAAAATATTTATATAATAATTAAATAAAATGAAGTTATTGTAATTAAAACTCGAATCTATTTTGGCTATCCAAAAGTAGCATCCGATGCCATCATCAGATTCATCACCAGCGCAACTAGAGCAGTGGGACCCAGTTAAAAGAAAAATATTGACCCACGTTTCAGTCAGAAAAGGAAAGGACCCCACGACTACAAGTCAGCAAAGACACGTGTCAACATTCGTGGCCAAACTTTTGTCACCCACTCTCGTTCCGACCGCCGAACCAACCTGTAGTAGGGACCACCAAGGGGCCGCTTTGAAAACAGTGCAGGAAAAGAAACGGTCCCACTTGGACCCCACTACTCTCCTTGGGGCCCGCGCCCACATCACATGATGAACCGATCATGCTGACCCCACTTAACAAAAACAAATGCTCTTCTTTTTGCATTGCACCGTCCACGGTCCCAAAGTCTTTTTCCTTTCTTTTATTTTGTACTTTTTATACCGAGATTAAATCATCATGTCTCCATTATTTATTTTTCTCAGCTTTCTTGAATTTGGATCTAATTGACATATTACACATCCAGCGATAAAGAATTCATAACAATAAAAAATAATTCAATTTTTTCAAATCTTTTTAGATTGATATGTCATCTAACACAAGCAAACTTACCTTTTAACACAAAGAGATTTAGCTTAACGAATATATATTCAATTATTTTTTTAATCCAATAATATTAAAATTCTGATGATTTTATTTTTTTAATAATTATGTAATGAAAATGATTACTTTCATGGTCTATTGCAATAAGTTCATTGGATCTTCCTTGAATAAAAAAAATATTATCTATGTTAAATAATAAGATTTTTAGGTTTTCAACTAAAAATTCTATTTTTCACAATTTTTTTTTATTTAAAACAAGTTTATACCCACTTAAAATAGTAGAACACAATAAAAAAAATTCATAAATGTTTTATTTCTCAAAAACTAACTTGAAATTTGGACCGTAATTACTAACGAAATAACATGTACATGAACATTAGGTCAATCCTACGAAGTTTCCTCCTCATTTCTAGTTGGGAGTGTTGACCCACCATAAATCTGGACCCCGTTCTCCGCCTACTCTGACCCTACTTTACACGTGCACACGTCAACACGACCCTCACGTGAGCACGTGCTCTATTCCCATCCAAGAATCAAAACAACTTTTTCTTTGTTTTTTTTTTTTTTTCGAAACTTGAGAAATACGTAATCCGAAGCTCGAAGAAACTTGTTAATGGCGGACGCACCAAAATGATAGTAACCCAAAAAAACTCACCAATGAAACCCTTTCCCTTCAATTTTTGTCATTTCTTTGGAGGCCGAGACATGAGCTGTAACTCTTGTCTGTCATAAATCTCTAAAGAGAAGTCTCTAAGCATTTGAGGAGTACTATTAGTAGTTGTACTTGTAACAGTAGAAGCTGAACTTGAACTTGGCGCCATCATTGAAATACCGTTAGCAGGTTTAGAACCAGAAACGCCAGAACCAGAAACAGGCATAGCCATAGCTAGATTTGATTGAGTGGAAGACACAAAAGATGATATTGGCCTAGTCGAAATATTTATCAAAGGAGCAGCTGCTGCTGGGAACGTAAATATCTGGGGCTGGTTTGGAGTTCCTGGAATAGATGGTACCATGAAAAACGCCCCTGGAACTACAGCGTTTGATGGTATGGCCCACATGGGCACTAAACCCTGAGGCACTGCCGCAACTGTTTGTTGCGCGGGTGGCCGCGGTGGCTGTGGCTGTGGCTGTGGCTGTGACTGTTGCTTTGTTGTGGGAGCTAAAGAAGCTGAGGCTGAAACGTTGCCATTGACATCGACGTACTCGCTATTAACGGGTCGTTTCCGCTTCTTTTTAGCATTTGGTTCACCGAGTTCGGAGCTGGAGTTAGTTGTTGTCGGGATTTTAAGGGTTCCATTAACAGACATGGCAATAGCAGGGACGGTGCCGGTTCCTGTTGCTGCAATTATGGCAGGTTCAGCATGTTCAAGCAACCACCTGATCGTTTCACCGTCTGACTTATGGTCTAATTCTCGGGTTAACTGAAAGATCCGGGCAGCGCATGTTGCAGGCATTCGGATCCTCCGGCCCCGACCCTCCACCTTGGTGTGTCGGTCTTTGGTTGATGCTCGTTTGGGTTGGGTCACTGTGGTTGATGGCATGGGGATTGCCGCTAACGGCATGACTCCTAATGGTGGCGTAGGTGGCCTCTCCTCTGTGCATGGCTCTTCCTTTGGTGCTATCGACATGTCGTTGTTGCTGTTAGTGGAGCCTACTTGAATGTTTGGTAATTCTCTGCTGTTGATTCTAAGATCAACGGCTCTCGTGTCTTCATCTTCTTCAACTTCTTGCTTTTGTATTGTTGCCATGCAGAGAGATTTATCACTGTGGAAAAGAAGAAAAGGCCAGAAAACAATACGTTCAGAAAGAAGGGATGAGAAATGGGTTATAAGTAGACATGTGACGGGTCTCACTTTTTTTTTTTTTTAAGAAAAAAACTTATATGTCTTTCCATTTTTTTTTTAAAGTTTTTTTAAATAGAATTAATGAGATAAGAAAAGTCATGAAATTATGGTAACTAAAAAGCAAAATGACACATGGGATTTAGAAGAAATTTTCAGCTAATTAAAGCCATAGATTCATGAATTCAACGTCAAATTTCCATAAAAATCACATTCGAATCTATCAAAATAATAAAAATATTTATATCCAGACTCAATTTTTTTTTAATTCTCTCTTTTATTTTTCTATTTACTAAAATTTCTCCCTCTCTATCTCTAAATTAGAAAAATTTACAAAGAAAAGTAGGAAAAAAAAAAAAAACTTATCTTTACAATTGAAAATGCACCAATGGATTATCTGGATATTGACCCTTCACAAACGCAAGACTGAAACCCAAAAAAAAAAAAAAAAGAAAAAAAAATCCAAGTAGCAATACAATTCTTGATTATCTTGAATTCTTTAACAAGAATCCATCAATAAACAAGAATCATCTTTGAAACTTCGATGCCAAAATCACACAAAGAATCAAGAAAACATTCACGGCTGGTAATTTGCACAAACTACAAAAACTCGAAGTTGAAACTCTTAATTAATACTAGAAATACGTACAGTTTAAGTAGCAAAAACTAGCAAACTACGATTATAAACAGGCAATGAAAGAGACGGAAAATGAGCGGAAGAATCATAAAACAATAATGCAGCTTTACCTAACATTCATGCATGCAACTGTCAGCTAAAAGACCAAATGGGAAGAATCATATATAAATTCAATCTAATGATTTAGACAACTGGGCTGTCCACAAATTGAAGAAAAGAAAAGAAATATCGGGAGGAAGGAAGGAGCAAATAAAACTCGAAATTCCTAAATTGAGTAAAATTTTAATGAAAACACAAGAAGAAGAAGAAGAAGAAGAAGAAGAAGAAGAAGAAGATTATAAGTGAATTGAGATGAAAATATGTACCTTAAAAGAGATCGAGGAATTGGTTCCTGGGAGAGAAAGAAAAGCAAGAAACAGTGGTAGACGAATACAAAAGCTTCTCTCAAAAATTTATCTGATTAGGAGAAAGGAGTTTTTGGAGAGCAATAGAATTGTTGGAGGCTAGCAGAGAAGAATTTTTGGGGCTATGTGTATATATATATATATTTATAATCCAACCAAATTTATTTTAATTCGGTTTCTTAATAACTTACGGAGTTAGGATTTATTTCATTGTTTGGTTTTATTTTTTTAAAAATATATATATAATCGGTGAAATACAAAATTTGATAACCAAATAACTAAACTAATTCCATTGGATTGGAATATTCCGTTTAAATCCACTACTTTTCACTCTGTTTACGGGCTGCTTGATTCAGCAATAAGGTCGATGACGTGGCACCTGGACGGAGAATACCAAATTTCCGACGTCATCAAACTGAAACTTTAACGTGGACCCCAGTAGCTATGGAGCAAGCTGGGTCCCAGCCTTTAATGGGTCAAGAAAAGTTAGGACTTCTGAAGGGAGGTAGGCCATAAAAAAAAAAACAATCACTCTATCTTTCTGCGAGGCTGGTCCACTTCTTACCTCGGGGGCCCCACTTTTGTAGACTATCCAGTGGTCGCGCTGTCGTGGTGGTCAATGGGACCCACAAAACCATACCAGCGTGGAAGTGTATTTCTATGGCGATAAGCATGGCGGCATAAAAAAACACAGGCAACCAAAGCTCTCACGCTCTACAACCAACGTGAGTGTGCCTAAATGGTAAAACAATTGAGTGGTTTTTTAGGGGTTTTTTTTTTTTTTTTTTTTTTTTTTTAATATATGTGAAATTTTTTTATCTAAAAACATACAAAAATTTATAGATGTTTTATTTTACCCTCTAAAATTTATTTCTTTCCTTTTAAATTCTAAAAAGTAAGCAATTAAATAGTATTTTAGAGTGAAAAAACAAGTTTTGAATAAAAAAGTAAGTCATTAATAAATTTTGTCACATTTCTAGTTGTTAAAATTAAAAAATCAACTACGTTCTAATCACATTTATTTCTATCGTTAGAATTAATAAAAATATGATAAAAATTAATTTTAAATAAAAAATAGTCGAAAGAAGTATAATATGAAATTAAAAATTAAAAAACTGATATTCAAATGAACTAAAATTCAAAAAAACCTTAAAACATTTAACCTATTTAATTCCCTACCATATTTTAGACGTTAAATAATCTATATTTGCATGTTTGCTATTACTGCAATATTAGATTCTCTATTCGTTAAACTAAACTAAATTCATTTATCTATATTCAGTAAATAATTTATATTTGCATGTTAACAAACCTAGTTATATTCTTTAAATAAGATTTTTATCTAACATTTTTTAAATAAATCTTCATGAGTTTGTGAAACTAAATTTTTTTTTAAAAAATTCCCTTTATTATTGAAATATTATTTATTTCATCAACATAATTTTTCTCTTACTTGCTTCTTTTGCTTCATTAAACATTCAGAAAAATAATTTTCATATATTTCTTACATGTTAGAGTAGAGAAGAGAGTGTTTTGTACGCGCCATATCTCTCATGTGAGTGGGGTTCAAAGCACCACAGCGACAAAGGGGAGAAAAAAACCCGCACGTGGGACCGAACAACACTTGGTACTGTGCCGGTCTGGCGCATGGCATTCACCACGCCTCAACTTCAATGCAAACCGTACACGTGGACCACCTACTCCAAGATGTCTGGCACGTGGACCTGGGTTCTAGTAGAGAATAGGCCGGATAGACATAGGTAGGGTAGCCCCCAAGTAGTTACAGCTTAGAGTCTGCAGAGCAGTAAAAAGAGAAGACAATGTAGCCTATACAACACATGGTCGTTGTCCCTAATAGCTATCAATTTGAGGACCCTGCCCTTAAATTAATTAAATTATTTTAAAGACAAAAAAGAAACGTGTGAGTTTTCTATGGTTTTAGTTTCCAAAAAAAAAAAAAACCTAAACTTTTGGGAAAAAAAAATAATTAAAATTTTTGCAACTTTTATTTATTTATTTACCATTTATTTAATTTTTATTCACACTAAAAAATATTTTAAAACTAATTGTGGATTTTTTTTTCAGTTAGTTATTTTTTTATTAAATTTCATATTAATCGAAATTATATCTATTATTTGTTTTTAGATAAATGAGTGCCCGAATATGTTTATATTTTGGTCGCGTCATTTGTTTGCCCCTTTTCTTTTTTCCTTACTAATTTCTCTAGCAATTGAGACTTTGTCAGTTCATGCTGTTGATTCTATCATCCCCAAATAATGTGTTTGTGAATTCAGTGATTTCTCTTTTGATCTCTTCACATCCCATTAGATCATACATTGATGGAGAAATGAATTAATTAATGTTTTTGTTTTCAAAAAATGATTATTTAATCATTTTAATTAGTGTTCATAGTAAATAATTTAATATATTTTATTTTATAAAATATTTTTTTAATAAAAAAACAATTAATTAGACTGAACGTTTGTAAATAAAACATGTAAAGAAATCAATAAATAAAGTTATAAAATCAATAAATAAAATTGTAAAAAAAGCATGGTGATAAAGCATAAAATTATAAGCAATAAACTTAATAAACTACGAGAAAACTTAATTTGCCAAAAACTTACAATGAGGCTATTCTTCTGGTTATGCCGTTTTAAGATCCAAAACCCACCTGCGATGCGAGTAAAGATGACTTGTTGTACGTAAAAAACAAAAACAAAAGTTAACGAGCGGACCCAATGGCGGAGCCTGGATACCCAACTTCAGTGTACGGCCTTCGCATGCCCCGATATCCATCTGTCGATTTCTTCCGATGACCTTCAACGAAGTGGACCCAAGCCCACCATGCAGCGGTGGTGCACCACTTGGATGGTGGGTGGAACCCACCATTTTCACTGTTTTAATGAACTAGAGCTCACCAATGGGGAGGAGACCCCCACCACCTCATGCCTCATCTATATGTGGTGAGGGACCCCACCACCTTGAGTAGGGGCCACAATGGTCACAGACCCACTTGCCCTAACTGGTCCTTGTTCATTTTAGGGGACCCCTACCACGCCAACAATGGGAGTATCCCTTGTGTGGGGTAGATGGACCCCACTACGGAACTTTAATAGCAACACTTACTTTTTGCCTAGTGCCCTACCACTAACGACCAATGCCATTGAAACACGTCATTAGATTAATTGTGAGGCGATTGGGTTTTGGCCCACTTGAAAATTGACCATCTTTTTATGCCTTGGATTATTTCCAAAAGACGATGAACATCAGTTAATTCTGTCAGTATTGTTCAATAAAAGGAAGTACAGAAACATACCGGAGACCCTGAAAATCTTCAATTATTAATGACGAAGGGGAAAATCTACAGCTTTGTAAAATTCCAAAAGCAGCTCGGACATAATAGACTTCAGGCTGAGCCTAGCCTTCCCAACTTTAAGGGAGTTGCAGGAAAACGGTGGGAAGAAAAATAAAATAGAACTTCTTGATTAATACAATTAATTAAGGCCGAAAATCAATCGGATTTTGATATAAATTTGACTCGAATGTGATATAATTAAATAGACTTAGTAAATTTTTTTTATCTGAATCTGATTATAATTTGAGTATAATAATCTGTTTATTATATGCATCAAATATTAATTCATCTTGATCACATTTAATAATAATCCGATTTGAACTTATAAATAATAGTTTTATATTAAATATAATATTAAAAATATTAAAAATTTTAATAATATATATATATATATATATAAAAGATTATGTTGAAATTTAGAATTTATTTATTATAAAGTTTAATTAATACATATTTTTTTATAGTGACACCTTTATTTTTTAAAAAATCACATATAAATTTTTTGTAACTTTTTTATTTCAACTTCATGAAAAAAATTATAAAGTGACTTATATATCTTTTTAAGAGTTGATGGTGTTATTATATTTGTCATCATCCAATTTTTGCTCCAAAAAAAAAAAAAAAGAAAAAAAAGAAGAAGTAAGTTAAAAAAGAAAAAGAAGACTAAAAGAAAAAAACTAATTGATTGAAATTAGGACGAAATTGAAGAGAATAAAAAAGGAGGATTGATATAAAATAGGAAATCAAGACAATTTAGAGAAGATTTGTGCAATTGGATTTTTTTTTCTAAATAAATTTGAAGAAAGAAAAAATTTCTAATTTGAACATACTCGGGTATTTTGGACATAACTTTCTATACATATTAAAGAGTAATATAAAAATCATTTTTGGAGTCTCATCTAATGGATCAAGTTTTTGGGTTGAAATGGTTCTTTAATATAGTATTAGAGTCTTGAAGATCAAACGGTCATGAGTTTAAATTTCATTTCCCTCACTTTAATTAAGCACCCAATAATGGTAGGCACTGTTCAAGTCGACGAAATGTGTTTGAGAGTAATATAAAATCATTTCTAAAGCCTTATCTAATACCTTAAACTTTTGAATTGAAATAGTTTTTTAATATGATATCGGAGGCTTGATACCTAAGTGGTCTTGAATTCAAATCTCACAATTTCTACTTTTTCTTTTAATTAAGCACAAGGTAATGTAGTTCTATGTAAGTTTTAAGTTCAAACGAGCTTTCAATTGAGGAAATATGTTTGAGAATAATATAAAAATCATTTCTATAGCCTCACTTAATAGTTTAAGTATTTTTGTTGATATGATTCTTCGAGAGTACATAGGTCCAATTCATGCGATTGACAAATTAAAGCTAAGAGTTATGGTTATAATTTGTAGCACTATTTTCCTCAAATTTGAGTTATATATATATATATATATATTTGCTATTGCATGAATAAGAAATAAAGATTATTTATAATTTTTTTTAGTTTTATTATACTTTCTACCTAGTTCAAGACAAACTTTTATTAAAATTATTTGATTTTGTTCTTTTGAATTGTATGATATTTTGAATTTGTTTACAAAATTGATAAATGAAATATTACCTAAATATATTTTATTATATATATAGTGGTTAAAACATATTTTATAATTAAGCGATATATTAAATTTAGTAAGTATAGAAAAATCTACAACAACTAAGTGATAAATCCAATGAAGTTTCAAATCTGTTCTTAGAATCTAGATTTATATTTTCAAAACTCGATTTAAATTCACAAGATACGATTTGCTTTATTAAAAAAATTGGATTTAGATCTATTATGGTCCAATTTGATTTTGATCCATTTATAGCCCTAAATATAATTATTGATTACGACCAATTTTTCACCAAGACAATTATACAAGATTTAAAAAACCTGAAAAACAAGGATTGACAAGACCATTAGCCAGACACAAAATCAGAACTTTTAACATACAAATGACAACATATTATTGAATATATGGGGAATCTCACACTTTTAGATCATTACAAAAGGAAATGTTGTCATCTAATTTGCATATCACCAATATTATTAGACAGAGCAGAAATTCTGAACATAAATGATGACAAGCAAAATTTAGATGTCTAATACATAAGAGAGATATTATTATTTGCACTAATCTTGTTTTGACCCAATCTCTTAGTAGCTCCCTTTGATCACCAAGACGAGAGAGGTGGGATACTCTGCTCATTTCTAAAGAAATTGGCAGGATCAACTTCAGTCTTTACGCGTACCAACCTCTCGAAGTTGTTCTTGAAATACTTCCGACCCCAAATGCTTGCCTGTTTATAACTAGTGTTGCCTAGGTTGTTCACTCCTAGATCAAGATCTCTATAATTCACATAGGCTTCTCGAGGATTTTTTGAAACATAAGGAGTCATGTAACTGTAAAGCCTTCTGGTCCAACTTATATGCCTTTGCGATGCTGCCTTGCTTTCTTGACTCCAAGTCACTAAGGGGATAAATTTGTATAGATTACCAGCTCTATGTGGAAATGGAATGCTAGATTCTGAAATTTCGTCCATTTTTCCTCCATAAGGAACTAAGAGAATTGTAAGCAACTCGAAGTCTTTTTCATAGAACATTTCCCATATCCCTTCCAAAGCAATTTCGGGGATAGGTTCCTTCACGTAATCAGATTTTGCTTTGAATTTTGTCAAGGATGCAGGAGTTCTATCAAGCAACACATCCAAGGATGCATTCGGTGGAAATACAAGGGCAGTATAAAGGACAGATTCGATCCAACTCATTTCAGTGCAATCCTCTTTTACCAAACCGAGCTCAGGAAAGCTCTCTTGCATCAACTGAAGTAGCCTGTCAACATCACCAAGAAACAAGGAAAAGAATGAAGCTTGTATTGTTGTGTTTCCTTCTAGACTAGAATTGACTTTGGCTACACTCGCATCAATGATGAGATCTTCAGGAAGCTTATTTGCAACGTATTGCCACCGATGAATAAGCTTGGTTGCATTTTGTTCCAAGGTTCTTGAGACAAGGAAGAATGTCACTGTAGGTGGAACTTCAACCAAGCTTACTTTCCATGCGGTAACCACTCCGAAGCTGTGCCCTCCACCTCCTCGAATGGCCCAAAATAAGTCTTCTCCCATTGATTTTCTGTCAAGGATCCGGCCTTGAACATCAATTAACTGAGCATCGATTACATTATCTGCGGCAAGGCCATATTTACGCGAGATCATGCTGAATCCTCCCCCACTAAAGTGTCCTCCAACACCTACAGTAGGGCAAGCACCTGTCGGAAAAGCAAAACTTCTAGTGAATTGGCGATTTGTTCAGTTTGACATGTTTTATAAAAGATTTTACAAGACTATCAGCAGCAACGTGCAGGATATAAAGCTAGTTACCTGCTGGGAAGGCAAGAGTTCTACTTTTCTCAGCAATTCTATAATAAAGTTCGCCTATTGTTGCTCCAGACTCAACCCATGCAGTTTTACTCGATGCATCAACGGTGATTCTTCGAAGATTGATTAGATCAATGATGACAAATGGAAGAACAGAAACATAAGATAGGCCCTCAAAATCGTGCCCACCACTCCGAATTCTAATCTGTAAGTTGTGTCTTTCGGAACAAAAAATGACAGCCTGAATGTGTGATACATTTGTTGGTGTAAAAATGGCAAGAGGTTTTAGTGTCGAAGAATTGAACCTGAGGTTTCGTATTGAGAAATTCAAGACAGAGGAGTACCAGGAGTTGTTAGGAGTGTAAGTGACTTTAGAAATGGCCGTGGAATCTTCAAAATGAAGGGAAAGACATTGAAGAAAATCTTCATGAGTGTGAGCTGATGTTAACCATGAGAATGAAAAAACAATACAAACTAGAAAGGGCAGCACTGGAGAGTTCAGAGAAATCATTTCCCTTACTATTTGCTTATGAGTTTTGAGTATAAAAGCTGCAAGGGATTCTCTCCAGGAGAATTCTTCCTCAGGGAAGAAGCAAAAAATTTAAATCAGCAAGGAAAAACCTTGCTACACAAGAAACTTGAAGTCAAGAATCCACTGTTAATATAAAAAGGTTTTGCTTAACGTCTTAAAAAAAAAAAAAAAAAAAATACTATATTGTCATTCCTCTTACTTTTCTCCAAGCATTCAACATTATCTATTCGCTTTTGATCGAGTCAATATCCAAGCTTTTGAATAGTTGTTCAGCAATTATTATATTTTTACTACAACACAATATGCCCTTATTTGAACTTGCGACCAAATTCTGATAAACACAATATACTATTCAACCGGCCATTAAGTTAAAGAAACATATAATACTATCAGTCATTTGAATTACTGAATTTTCCTCCTCATTTTCAAACATTTTTAATAAAAAGAATGATCTTCTTCTGCTCACGTTTAATATGCAGTTTGATTTACTTTTCAAGACTTGCCCTTAGTAACCTTTGTTTATGTGATTTGAAACTACTATGTTTCCTTCTTCTTCTTTTTTTTTTTTTTTGATAAATGACAAGGATTCATCCTGCTACAAAGC